GCTCATGGGGAAAGGGACACAGCCAGCTGACAGCGGGTGGGAGGATGGAAACCTGGATCCAGACTCAGGAAGGAAAGCCTTCTTTGGAGCTGGGAGGACATGCAGGGCATCTGAGTGATTCAGGAATGCCAGAAAGCTTGCAGCCCCAAGGCACACGATGCCCAGAGGGCTGTGGTGCCCACACTTCCTTCCAGACAAGCTTCTGAGGGGCTGCAAAGCTTGAGGCCATCGAGGCCACAGCAAGTTTTCCACCTAGGAGCTGGCAAAGCCACGTCCCACCTGGCAGGTGAGATACCAAAATGGTTAATTCAATTCTTACTGTGCCTGTGAAATTTTTAGCAGAGAAATAAGGCCTGTGAAAGCTGCTTTCAGCAAGGACAGTTGGGAGATAAGAAGAAGACATCTGGCCCAGAAACGCAGTGATAGACAAAACAAAGGACTGAATCTCTGGGAACTTGGGGTGGGATTTATGGTAATGGGGTAAACTGTGATATGCACAGAGAGATTGTACATAAGCAACCCTCTTGCAGAATCATGTGCCCACTTTAGGTTAGAATCTCCTGCGTGCACCTTCAGGCCTGAATGAAATTATTCCTTCTTTAACACAACTTTCGTGTTGGAAAGATTAATTACAATATTTCAGGCATTTGGTAAAAGGTGGAGTAGACCAGAGACACTCGCTCCAGCTTTGCATCAGAATTTAGTTGGGATTCCCTCATTCTCAGAGGTCTAAACTTTAACACAATAAAAGGGTCCTTTTAAAACATCTGTTCTAGTGCTGAATGAATCCTAACACACACAGTCAACAAATGGTTGCTGTCTGGCAGGAATTGCCCCCAAGTTTCAGAAAGCACTTGGTTCTTGGGCTAAGTATGTCACTCAGAAAAGAATACAAATTAGTGACCAAGTATTGACAGTATTAAACCAAAAATGTCAAACAAAACTGTGGCCTAAATGTTAGAAACACTGTAAAGCAGCGTTTTTGCTTCCCGCTGCTTTGAGATCTTAGTTTTGCATTATTGGCAACCTGAAGTGTTCCAAGATCTTGAGCTGGGCTCTCCAAAAAAATTTTTGACTAAAAATCAGAACAGATTAGAAAACAGCATTTGGCCTCTGTTTTGTTTGCCTTCTAATTTTGGAACTTGTAGTGCTCATGGTTTCAGATTTTGCCTGGAAATATGAGAGTTGGAAGTTTACATTTTGGAGAAATGAAAGCTGGCATTTTTGTCATCACATGACTCCAAGAGCTGGGGCTTGAGGGAAAAACATAAAACATTGTCAGGTTTTCTACAAAATTGTGAGATTAGCAGTATCAGTTTTATCACAATTTAGGCTGCAAGGTTGACCTATTTTCTCAACAGTGCCCTACTGAATATGAATTGCTTTATGAATTTTAACAACCATATTTCATTTTAAATGTAGTTCAATTAAAGTGACATTCGTCACTGAGCTTCAAAGCAAACCCTTCCATCATCATCCTAGGCTAGACTTTTTCTCTGAACAAGTGAACTGCACGACCCCTCCAAACTTTGTGTTTCAGAAACATCCTTTTTGGAAGGACATCTTCGGGGTGTACTGGGGGACTAGCTCAGCATCATGAGCATCTTCCAAGTTTCTTTCACTCTCTGCCCACCTGACATGACAGCTACAGAGCCCCAGACTTCTCCAGGTTCTAGAGTAAGGGCACCAGGAAGCAGATTATGGACTCACAAAAGATGAACAGGTAACCATAGAGTTCCCTTGAGGCCCTGAAGGACAAAACCGACCTGAATCCAAGAACTTGCTGAGCTGTAGCAGGTGTCAGCCTGTTCTACAGCTGCAAATCACTACCACTCTAAAATACAATATGAAATCTCTGGGGTTGCTGATGCACAAGAGCTGTCACAACTCACATTCCAGTTCCATTTATGGTAAAACAGCAAGACTTAGGGGTGCAGGGGAGAAGACCACAAATACTCAGCAGGCAGACACTGTTCCAGTGAAAACCTTACACACAAATATTAGGCAGAACAGAAAGCAGTGTGCATGGGAGGATGCATTCCAAAGTGGCATAAAAACAAATGGGGGAGGGTTAGTTAATTATTCAGAGAAACTCAAACCTCTTCATAAATTAGGTCTAGAACATCCTGAAAAGTAGAAAAAAAATCATAAACATTTGCCAAAACACAAAATCCTACCTAGACCCCATTTTGGCATTTTGAGGTAGTACAGATTCTCAAATTTAATCTAATCTGCAACTTTTCTCCAGTTTACTTAACTCTCTGTACAAACTCCTTGTTTTCTGTTTTAGTGACACCACCTTCCAATTAATTCAGAAGAGATGAGCTTGGAAAAGACATGTCAATTAGAGACTCACATGCCAGGCACATTTTTCTAAGCTCAAGGAAATAGAGCATCTTACTCCAGCATCACAGAAGTGCAAGTTTAATTGAGCTGTAGATACACTGAGCATTTGCAGTCCTCTAAGGAGGAGAGAGACATCACAGCCTCTCCCTGGTTATTTATCGTGCATCAGTGATTGGGTAAGAAGAGAGGGAACTGTTTCCAAGTTAGAACACTGAGAGGAAGGTCTCATAAATCATGGGGTCAGCCAGGTTATGCTTTTTTTAACCTTAAGGTATTACACTTTCAATACAATATTTCAGTAGCTTTTTTCTGTGTAATAATTTATCTGGAATTATGGCAACTCTTATAAGCTTAGAAAAAAATTGGCTCAAGTAAAATGATTCCTTTGTCATAAATAAGTTGTGTTCATAACTACAGCATAATCATTCATCTGCATGTAAGTCAAATAGTTATCCACTCTTTGTAGAATATTTCCCTGTCAATAAATCTAATGCTATTTCAGATCTTCAGGCCAGTGTGTCAGAAGCCCGTTAGATTAATTAGGGCAAGGTCAGAAACGCTGAACTCACAGCTACATTCTTGTCACAGTTTTCTTCCACCTACCATAACCCATAAGCTGACTGTAAACTGACCATTTTAAACATGGACATGTTAGGGTGACTTCATTGTCTTAATTTATGTACAGAGGATGATTTCTTTAAGAACTGGTTTTTTTTCTCTGACAGTCACTAATTGAGGAGAAATGTTTTGCTTTGTATTCATGGTCAATAATGATTTTTCCATTTTTAAATGTTTTTCCCTTCAGAGTTATGGGCTTCAACCAGGGTTCATGAAAATTCAGGATCATACAGGCACGGAACCGCCCAGATTGCCTGTGCAGTACAACTAAGAATTCACTACAAACAGATCAGCTCTGTGGGAATGAGAGAATAAGAGAATGAGTATTCTCTCTCTGCCTGTTCAATTCTTGACCTTTCTTGTCTGACCATCCAAAAGGAGGGTGCCACAAATCTGATGGGGTTTGTGTGAAGTGGACCCTGGAGGTGAAATTCTGACCTCGGCAGGGTCAATATTTCATCTGAAATCCCTTGAGACAGACCTCCAAATCATTTCTAAGGATTGCAGCTTCTATCAGATGGTAGTTGGCTGACTTTCATTTACTACTGACTTAGGTCAAACTTGGACCAGGGATCAAGAGATGAAAGGCTCTATATCTCATTATCAATAACCAGGGTTTTCTTCACTACCCTAAAAACAACATACTTCATTCTTATCTACAAGGCGTTAAAACTTAAAAGGGTTGGGGTCAAATCATGTTACTTCAATTTATTTTTATTCACTGCTTATAAAACAACTTCCTCTCTTGCTGCCATAGCTAAATGCTAAAAATATAAATATTTTCCTTGCTATTGTACAGATTTTGCTATTGTTTTTCTTTTAAAGTCTTATTAAAAATGCAGCAATAAAGAAAAATCTCTCCAACACACAAATTAAAGAAGAAAAGAGTGCAGAGGCTGAGGCCAAACCAAGCCTTACCGATCTCAAAACTATTTTCAGCAAAGCACATCTTGTATAGAAGTTGCCTTATAACAGAGGGCTGGACGTTCCCAGGAGTTTTTCATAAATACACAAGTCCTGATATGGACAGAATGTCCTCTGGAATGACAGAGCCTAGTTTTCTTCTAGTATGAAGCCATAGAGCTCCTCTGACCTGGCTGGAATTAAGTTTTCTTAAAAGGGTGACAATTGTGATTGATAATTTTAGGCAACTCACTCTGAAATACTGACAAAAAGCTTTGGAGGGAGAATCCTGTTGCTACTGAACAAGCAGAACACAGTCTACAGTAACTTGCAATGCTCTGTACAGAACTGCATAATTAAACAACCGGAGATGTTACCCCGATCCTAGACATCTGTAAGAAGTCAAACCTCTCCTTTGTTATTCTGTGGAAGCCTTCACAAGCAAACTGATTTGCATTATTCCCAAAAAAGGAGCATGCACATGGAAGAAAAGTAATGAAATACAGTCAATGGCATGAAAAGAAACTTCTGAATACATTAAGGAAGAAAGAGGCTAAATAAAGTTTACTGGTTATGCTGGTTTAACAACTTTTTCTACTACTGGGAATAAACCTGTAGATACCAGGAACTTACACAGCTGCTCTCTTGAATCTAACCAGTCTTTTGACAAGTTTCTCACTCACACAATACTTCACCACAAATAAAAATTTCCAGACTTTCAACACCTCAGGCAGAGGGAAGAAGGCACACTTGATTATCAATCACTGAAGAGAACTACTTCAGTAAAATCTCAAAAACAGAGCTGTAGAACATCAGTTCCAACCAAATTCTTTGTGGCAATGCTTTTGTCACTCCTGAGGAAAGAGGATTTGGTCCTGCAAATGCTTGCTTGCATGACCAGCTCCTCTAACATCTCCCTGCTCCTACAAGAACCATGTTAATCATATAAGGCCTTCCAGAAACTGACCTTTTTCGCTAAATGACAGGTAAAACCCTCATGCGTTTCCATAAACAAGATGCCAGCCAACTGCAGAGATTCTTAAAGAAACTATGGCAATAATAGCTGAGGGAAAGAGTGGGGAAAGGGAAAGGAAGAGAGATAACAGGAGCATGGGAGGAGACGTGTCTCTGACCTGGATCTGTTGCTGAAGAAGGTTAATTTTGTGTTGCTGCTGCAGAAGCTGCTGCTGTTGTCTTGCAATCTGTGAAGAAATTGCACAGAAGAAACATGAGATATGGATCACCATTCCCAGAGTCCATCCATAGGAAGCTTCAACCTTGTTTAGTTCTTTAGCTAAGAAACCTTCAAGGGTGGGCGGCAGCAGCCTGGAGACTGTTGCTCAAGCAAGGGGCACACGTTCAGGAACAATTCATTGCTAATCCTAGTGAAAAAAGGAATCTTACAGAAAATGTTGCGCTGCATGTGATGACAAGAACCTATGCAAAAATCTTACTGAAATGGCACTGCTAAAATTCCCCAGGAGAGAGAACAATACCAGCAGAGAAACTGAAAAATAGTGGAGGAAGGTAGAAAAGGCAAAAAAGTAGGATGGCCAGAAATACTCTTCTGTTTGGCTCAAAAAATCTGCACAAAAATAAATAAAAAAAAAAAAAAAAAAAAAAAAAAAAAAAGGCAATCTGACACCATGGAGGAAGGTTGTTAGTGTACTTTTTTAATGTAGAAACAGGCACAAAGAGACTGGAACTGAGTTTGGAAAAATCACTGGCTCTTCAATGTGTGTATCAACTGCAAGAAACTACGGGGGCAGGCAAGGCTACAAGGCTCAACACTGAAACCAGTTTATGGAAGTGGATGGAGTCGTTCTAAGCCTCCTCTCAAAGCCAAGTGCAATTTTCCATAAGAACTTCCACCCTGCCTCTCTGCTAAATGATTGCAAATGCTACTGTAGACACATTTTATACACTGTGAGGAAAAAAGCAGACGTTAACAGAATGGAATTAAGAGTTCTAAAGGCCGGAGGGAGATAAACTATTCTTGAACTTATAAAGCAAATTTGAAAAACTTTCATTTAAGTTATCACAAAAGCTCTGCTCTCATGAACAGCCAGTGCAGCAGAACAAACATTAGAAAGAGCTCTGCTCTTCCCCTGTGTTATGAGTACACATCTCAGGGTCAGCTGGTAACTTAAACATACTTACTGGGAGAAATTTTGTGCTTTCTTCCCTTCAGGTATTTTCTTTTCTTTCTATTATTAGACTATTTGCATAAGAAACACTCACTTATAGTTAGCTCCACATTGAATAGATTAAATAAATGTTTTCTTTCTGGAGCCTTTCTTTAAGACAAAAAAAAAAAATTATCACTACATTTTTTCAGAGTTTGGATAGTTTGATTTCTGCATACTACAGAAGTATACACAATTCCTTCAATTAAAAGAAACCCTAGTTATCCTAATTTCTTATTGCCTTTTTCCATTGTCTTAATTTTCTTTTTCACTTTCAAATCCCTCAGCCATCCTGTAGCACTAGTGACTTTAAAAGGCAGGGTAAAGGGAATAGCTCATACAGCATGTCTCCTCATGAAAGACTCTTGCCAATTCCACCTTCACTCCTTCATCTACCTTTGCTGTTTTAACAACAGCATGTACAAATTATCCAGCTTAAGGTAAGTCACTTCTGTTCTCCCAGTGTGGGATTTCAGGCGTGAGGCCAAAATACCCTTTGTTTAAGATAAGGTTGTTAAATAATTAAAAACAGGGAAAAATCAAGGCTAAATATCTGAAGGTATCAGCAGTGGCTTAGAAATATTAAGACTAGCTTAAGTACAATACCAGCACTGAATATGACAACTATGACAGATTTCAAAGAATTTGTGAGTTTCATGAAACTCACATAGCTGCAATTCCGTGATAATTTTTTAAACTAGATATCTAAATATTCTCTGCTCATGTTCAAGTAGAAAAGCAGACGTTAATTTCTGTAAAATCTGCACAGTGAAATCTGTGAGAAAAGTTAAATTTTTGCCTAAAATGTCGTGTGTCCATGCATGCACATTGGAACTGATCACATGTGAAAATCGTGTTTGCATTTCCAGTAAAGGGCATAATTGCAAGAACTGAAAATCAAGCCTCTCAAGTGTAGCAGAAAAAAAGTCACACTTGTTCACCGACTTTATATTATTCTCTGCTTTTTTCCACAGTTGGCAGAACCCAACCTTTTTCATTTCTCACACTACAATTCAAGTGCTGCATTTTGCTCTTTTTATACCTATTCAGTATTACTGAATTAAAGCAGTTTTGGTGGATTATGCAGGAGGGCTGAATTTGCCTGTTTATTTACAAATAGTTTAAAAACCCAAACAGTACTGAAAGATAATACTGAATCACAGAATACTCTGAGCTGCAAGGGACTCACAAGGACTATCAAGTGCAACTCTTAAATGAATGGCCCCTGCAGGGGCTGAACCCACAACCCTGGCATTATTGGCACCAGGCTTTGAACAACTCCGAGATGGATATATTACAATTTAAATCATTATTCTGGTATGTTTTTGTTCAAATTTTTTTACCTTGGAGAACAAATGGAAAAGATTTTGGGTGCAGAGCAACTTTTAGAGTGCGAAGCCTAAAAGATAAACTACTGGAAAGTCCTTCTAGAAAATTATTTAAGCTGAAAGCCACTGTAATAATCACTCACCTGTTCTTGTTGCTGCTTAGCCAGCTCCATTTGCTGGCGTTGTTTCTCGATCTGAGATGCAGCCAACTTCTTCTGTTCATCGTGAGCTGCTAGCAGCTGTTCCCTCAAACTGGTCAGCTGATTGATCATACCCATGAGCTGCCTTTCTTTCTCAGCGAGGCTTTCTGGAGTCCCTGGGCATCATATGGTAGGGAAAAAAAAAAAAAAAAGGGGTAAGGAGAAGAGAGGAAATTTAGAGCGATCCAGCTCTTTATTTTGCAGCTTTACTGTAAGCAAAGTTTTAGGAGAACCAAAGAGCAGCAGCAGCATATTGCAATATGCTGCACACTAAGACCTGCTCCTCTACAGAAAAATGAGCCATGGAGGATAAATCTGTACACAGGCTTTGATCTTGTGTCCCCCTTCAATGTTTCTTTGCCCTTTCATTTATTTTCCACTGCCTTTCTGTCAGATTAATAAAGTGAAATAATACTGCCTATTTTGAGAAAGTTTTAAAGTTTTAAACAATGGGGATCAAAAAAATCAACCCTTCCAGGTTTGTAAGACAACTATATTTGTATCAGAAACTTAGGGAAAAGATACAGTTTCTGTAAGTGTTGAAGCACTGATGTAGGGTAAGCATTAACATCCCTCTATAACATGTTATATCATCTACATCCCCGATTAGGATTAAATTATATAGTATTTAAATTGTCAATAGCTCTTATTGCTGTTGCTGCCACCAAGATGCACTTTGAATGAAAAAGTCTTCTATAAAATGAATACCTGAGTTAAACACAGCTCAGCATCACTCTCATCTGTACTGTTAGATGTTTTTTTAATAGTAGAGCTCAGCAGATACAGACAGAGGCTCTCACCACCTCACTTTCATAACAATGCTGAAGAAATTATTTTTCTACCCAGAAGGACAGTGGTTAAAAGGGAAGAAAAAATTCCAAGAAAAATCAAAAGCTATGAATCATACACTACAAAAAAAAAAAAAAAAAAAAAAAAGAACTTTTAATAAATGTTGTATCATTTGACAGTGAATTTAAAAGACCTGAAAATATGTGTAGCAGCTAATCCACAGATATCCCCAATACCACCACACCCTCTCACATGAGTCAGATCCTATGAAAACCTTTCTGAAAAGCCTTTAGGAAAGGATTAAGGCTATCAGTGTCAATGCCTTCTCTGAAAATAGCCTGCTTTCAGGACTACCCTGCCATACAAACCTCTTTCAAACACAGGAAGCATTCTTCTGCCAATGTCACCAGTGCTCTCCAAGTGGAAAAAAAAAAAAGGAAAAAGAAAAAAAAATTGGCGACTATAGCAGACATGTTCCTAGCCAACTATCAGTCAGACATGGAAAAGAGCTACTGGTAATAGCTCATTTAGTCTACCCCCCTGCCAGTGCAGGAATGTTCCCTACAATATATTTACTACAGCTTTCTAGATTGGATTGAAATGTCTGAAATGGTGAATCATCTACTGCTTGCTTTGAAAGGCTGAACCACAGCCTTTGAGGTGGCATCAGGGGAGCTCTTTGCTTGATAGTTAGCTTAATTTACTTTTTTGTTTGTTTGCTTGGTTGGTTTTTTTCGTTACTTTTACTTAATTTCAATGATGTGATCCCAAGCAACATCCCATTTCCTACATTATCCAAGTTCAAGGACTAAAATCCATTTGTAGACAGCCATATGCAAGTGGAAAACCACAAAGAATCACCAGAAAAAAAAAATGTGACAGAAGAAATGTAACTAAATTGTTTTTTATTAGGGCTCTAGAAATTTCTGTAAAAATATTCTCACTACATAGCAAAGAGCTACAGCAGAATATTCTCAGATAGAGCCTCCAGAAAAACTGTGGCACAAGCTGGAAACTTGAGAAACACACTGTAACAGAAACCATAGGACTTTAAACCTGTTCTGCTAAAAGCTGTGAGGAAGAATGGAAGCCAGTGCTAAAGCACTATCACGGCTGAAGAAAACACTTCTAACTATGCTTTTTCCTTCCAACATTGGAGACAGAGAACTGCTACAAGTAATGCATTTGCCACCTGGCCATGGAATTAATCAGAAGTTTCTATTGCCACTCTTCCATCCTTTGTTTGTTTTTCCCTGGGAAAAAAAGGTGCAGTGTTTCCAAGTGGTGTAGAAGAATTATTCTAGAAGGCAGCCCCTGTCTTGGCCTGTCCACGTGGGTTTACCATAATGCTCCTCTAATGAACACTATCATGCACTGATACTGCCACTATAACTGAAACATCTGAAAACAAAATATTTTGTACTTATTTATTCTGCATCTATTTTATTCCTAAATATTACTGGGGGTGGATGGATGCAAGCATGAGAGAGAGGGCAAGAATGTCCTACAGAAAGAAGGAATACACAGGACTGCCTCAGTCCCTGAGTTAGGGTAAGCAAAAGGAAATTACTGTCAATTTCACCAACACACATCACAGCTCCTCAGCCAGTACTGGCTCATTGGTGTATTTTGAGCTACTACAGTAGCTTTCAGTTGGGAATCAAAAAGCACTTTGTAAAGTTAAATTAATCCCCATCTTTAAATTAATCTGAAAGGTGGAAAAATGTTTCCATATGTGTAAACTGACAGACAGAGAGATCACAGGGTTAGCTACCAACAGCAGCAGAAAAAGACATGCTGATATCCAAACCCCATGTGTCAAAGTTCTGGCTGCGCTTCCTGGAAGGGAACAGGACACTCTGTGTGCCACTGACCTGACACTGCACATCCAGCTCCTGCACTGCTTCTCCAGACTGACTGACCCATAGAGCAGCAAAAATCTTCCTCACCAGGAAAAGAGCAGCTTTATCTGAATTCCAAGAATGAAGTCCTGCACCCATCTCCGGGGTCCTCAGCACAGGAAAGACATGGACTTGTTGGAAGAGGGACAGAGGAGGCCAGGAACATGATCAGAGGGTTGGAGCACCTCTTTTATCAGAAAGGCTGACAGAGTTTGGGCTGTTCAGCCTGGAGAAAAGAAGGCTCCAGAGACACCTTCCAGTACCTAAAAGGGGCTTATAAAGATGGGGACAAACTTTTTAGCAGGGCCTTCTGTGACAGGACAAGAGGCAATAGTTTTAAACTAAAAGAGGGTCCATTTAGCTTAGATACAAGGAAAAAATCGTTTACAGTGAAGGTGATAAAACACTGAAACAGGTTACCCAGAGAGGTAGTGGATATTCCATCCTTGGAAATTTTCAAGGCAGGTAGGACAGGACCTTGAAGAACCTGGTGTAGTGAAAGGTGTCTCTGCCCATTGCAGGGGGTTGGACCTGATGACCTCCCAACCCAAACTATGACTCTAAGAGTAAGCAGGCAGTGCAATGAAGTGCCAATGCAGACAGCAAAAGCACAGACACACTGCAGCCATGCAGCCAGGGACAAATCGACTCAGTCTCTTCATTATTATTCAGTTTTAAAAGAAAATCTGAAATGCCCACAAGGGGTGTTTTATATCCTACTTAATAAGTACAATGCATAATTCCTTGGGTTTATACAGCTGGAGTGAAAGTAGTCTGACAAAAGGCAGACTTCTTGCATTATATTTCTCAAGCTATTTTAGTTTGCTAATAAACCAAAGGGAAAATTTATCAGCATCAGCGTCATAAAAAAAATCTTCAGTTGGAGAATACTTCCTGGAAAACATGGCTTAGTAGGTACATTTTTTTTCACAGGACTAAGCCATCCTTCCAGTAACTGGAATAGTACTTAATGATAATTTCAATTCTTTGTGGTAATAATTCCTTGCAAAATAAGTACTTGGATAGCCATACTCTCAAGTGACCTGCACAAAACCAGAGGCAAGAAAGATCAGCTATGTGGCTCTAATGAGAGATAGTCAGCTCTGTGCAGATTTCCCCTTGTCTTACTCACACATAAGTCCCATCGATGATGAATCATAGTTTTGACATATCTTGCAGGTAACTGGTGGCTTTTAAATGTGTGAAAGTGAAAATAAAGGGAAGTACTTGAATCAGACAGTCTTGATAATAATGTTAAGTGTTTGCATTTAGTTTAAGTTTGGTGCTTTTTATGTCAGTCTTATTACCTAGCACACCTTTTCTATAATTACCTTCATGGAAATGGTCAACAAAAGTGCCATTCCACAGTTGCCACGGCCAATCCTATATTACTTTGCATAACATGTGAAGGCCAAAGCATGGACAGTGTTATTTATTTAATGGTGAGGTCAGGGCAACAGTGGGGTCACTACATTAGTACAAACAGTTATAGGAATTTTTTCTGGTGTATTAGAAATTACTACAGAGTTAAGAGCTCCAGTTGTTTTTGTACCCTTTTCTAGATGCTGTAGACTGGGGGTAAACAAGGATGGTGGTCCTAACCTTACTACTTTCTCTCTGTCAACCTGCATGAGATCTAAACCTGTATCATTGTGTGAAGTGTCCTGGCAGCTAAGGGATTTCCATTTAAAGAATTCTGTAGCTTACAGGGCAAAATATGTCAGTATTTTAAGCAACTAAGCCAACAACAGAATAAAGACAGTCGCTCAAATTATGCTACTTATGAATTAATGAACTATCCACATGGCTGCTAATCCTGCTAGAACTTGGGAGGGGGTGCAAACCCCTAGCCCCAGCAGACATCTTCAGCTGCTTCCTTACTAAACTCCAAGCGGCACGGAGTTGGGAATGGCTCTGGAGCTGGCCTTTACACATTGCAGTGCTCTCACTTCAGCCAGGCAGCAGGGCTGAGAGAAAAAAAACCAACTGTCCATTACTGCAGCATACAGCTTGACAGCAAGGTAGACCACTTCACAGAACTACTGAGTGAGGAGCCAAAGGAGAGTGCCTTGGAACAGTGGCTGCCTCAAGAACTACTCTTAATTACTGTCAGATCCACGACAAACAGATATTGCACATTTTATGTTTAACAAGGCTTTTAACCACCAGCCCACCTGCCTTTCAGGAGATTGCTGTAGGTGCTCTCTGTGGTCTGTCACTGCAATGGCAAAATGTGGATTTTTCACAACTGATCAAAACAATTCAGGCAAAGGACCATCAAAGTACACACTGTGGGTTGATAACTGCATAAAGGCCCAAGAAAAGATGCTTTCCAGATGCGTCAGCTTATCCTCTATTACCACGAAGAGAGACTCAGAAATAAAACCCATGTTTGTGGATGAAACACCCACAGCAGATGGCAATAA